TGTTTAAAAAAAAAAAAAAAAAAAAAAATGGCACTAAGAGATTAATAGAATAACTCAGGAATGGAGAAGCTGTGTTATATTCACTCAGGGTGAATGTCGACTCCATTAAAATATAGATCTATTACTAGATGTCTGGAAATCGTGGTGACAGAACAGAATGGGGATGGTATCAGTCTGGACAATGTAAAAGCAAAAAGGAAGAGAAGATGGAACCAAGTTTGGGAGTGAGGATGTCTGTCTTCCAAATTTTGCAGACAGCAGATATTCTCTAAAAGTATACATAGTGATGCCAGCCTCTTAAATATTAGTTCATAACCTTGACTTTATCTAGAGCGTTCTTTAAGAAGTAAATCTCTTGTGGATAATAAATATTTATTTGAAGTTTTTTTTAAAACCTTCCAACTTCAGGGCTTTCTTTTTTCCCTGTCATTCCTCACGGCTTGCGGGATCTTAGTTCCCTGACCAGGGATCGAACCCGGGTCCCCTGCAGTGGAAGTGTGGAGTCCTAACCGCTAGACCACCAGGGAATTCCCCAGGGCCCTTTTAAATTCGAGTAAAACTACAAGGAATGCCTTTTAAAATTTAGAAATAGCATCTGTAATGTAATTCCATTTAATAATAGCATATTTAAATCTGTTCCTCTATCTATCCAACCTTCCTTCTATCTGCCCCTCTCCAGGTGTATGCAGGTCAAGACTACCGGAGTAATGTGACTGCTGGTAGGTGTTGGGTGGTGGAATTTTTTTAAAACTTATTTTTTATACCTTTTTATACTGCACTGTTTTGATTCTTTATATTTATCGTGTGTTAGTTTTATAATAACAATGGTAATTTTTTCTAAAAAATATGTAAGCAAACAAATAATATGTTAACAGTGTTAATTAGGAATAAGGACATTATGGACATTATTGTCTTTTTTTTGCTTTCTTGTATTTTTTCTAATTTTCAAGAATATGTTTCTAAAATAAATATTACATGTATATATGTACTTATATACACATACACATATAAAGGTATATACACACACAGCAGTAGACTAAATTAGGATATATAATTTCCAAATAATCAGAGAAAGAAAGAATGAAGACTTAATATGGCAAAAGGCAGGAAAATAAAACAGAAGAAGGAAGCCCCGCAAATCAAAAGGCAGCACAGGAGAGTCACTGGTTTGAGAAGCTGCTTGCTCTCGGATTTGCGTTTTGGGGGGATCAATTGACTTTATTTTCATTTATTGCGTATCGAGTATCATTATCTCATTATTGAGTATGTCACTGCTTTTAGGCACTATGCTAAGACCTTTTCTAACATGTCACTGGATTCTAACAACTGGAAGGCAAAGGTAATTACCCCGTTTCACAGATGAGGAAAGTGAAATCCAGATGGGGCGGCAGTTAGCCCAATGGCAGAACATGCCCATCACTGCCTTCTCTCAACGACCCCACCTACCAGCACAGCAGGGCCTAAGTGGGCAGGGTGGGGATGGGGTGAGGGGCAGAGGTACTCACCGAGAGTGGAGTGGGTGCTGGTTCCTGCTCCCCAGGGACACACTCACCTAGGGCAGAGGACAGGAGAGAGAGGGAATGAGACCCAGACATCCCAGACCCAGACAGGCTTTGTTTCTTCCATAGAGCTAATGACTACGTGTCAGGCGGGACGTGCGCTGGGACCTGTCTCTCGTGCATTAGCCCACTTCGTGGATGGCTCCACCCCCATGGCTTGCTGCAGGTCATTTGTTGGAAAAGTGATAGACTGGTGGCTGCACCATCATCACAACCTGCATCGTCTCCACCCCCAACCACGATTTCACGGCTGATATCTATTGAGCACTTACTAGACACCAAGTGCGGCGCTATTGTATTTAATGGCTTTATTTCATTGACTCCTCACAGCAACCTCTAAAGGAGGCGTTATTATCCCCATTTTACAGATGAGGAAATGAGGCTCTGGAAGGGTGACCAGCCAGAAGCCACCCAGCTCAATCTGAACCTTGGTGGTCTAACTCCAGAGCCCAGGATCCTAACCCCAACACTCTATTGCCTCCCAAGAGGTAGCCATGGATTCTGGCTATAACCAAACTTAGACAGGTGGCAGCAGAGCGAACGCTGAATTGGGTCTACTCTCAGCTTCGCCAGGTACGCTCTGTGTGACTTGGAGCAAATCCAGAGGCCCGAGCTGCCTGTTCTATAAAGAGGGGAGGGGGGATCGTAGCTCAGCTTATCTCAGAGGGTTATGGGAAAGACGCAGGGACTGGGAAGATGTGCTCTGGGGGTCGTGAAGGATAAGACGGGGACAGAAATTGGAGGTGGGGTGGAGGTGTCACTTACCTCTGTCGGGCATCGTGAAGATGGCGTCCTCAGGGATGCCCACACCCAGGGCAACTTCCCTGAACTGCTCCAGCAGGGTTTCCCGAAGCTGTGGCTCCCGTCCTGCAAGTAGGAAGCAGGGGAGACTCCTAGAACCACAGGTACCTGGGCCGTCAGGGCCTGAGGTTATTTTGCCCAGGGAGTTTCATTTCGGGGAAGTTTGAAAACTGTTGGCCCAATTCCATTTCTTCGATACCCTTGTGGAAACCTCAGCTCCAGAAGAGGAGGAGGTGTCCCTCCCAGGCTCCCCATCTGGGTCTCCCAACTCCCCACACAGCTCTCTTTCCACTGGTTCTTTTAAGGACCTGAAGGCCCTGGAATTCTCTGGAATTTTCAAGATCAAAAGAAGAGGGTTCTACCTCAAATGGGAGACTGAGCTCTACCTCCTCTAGGGAGAGTAAATGTTTTCACCTTTCCCTTAACTGGGGTTTTGTCAGAAGGAAAAAGCAAAACTCCCTGCTCATCCCCACTCCATTTCCCTAAATCCCGGGTCTCCTCCCACCCGCAGCTCCAACGAGTGTATCATGTTCCAGGCCTTTACCATAGAGCTTGGCAGTAACGGTGGGTCCATGGCGGCGGCTGAATTTCTTGGTCAGAAAAATGGCATACTCATCATAGTTGGTGTGGACCACATAGGACTCCATGGTGATGTTCCATGCTGCATGGAAGATTCAGGAAGACAAAAAGGTCAGTGGTCAGAAGGTTTCTAGCCTGAGATCCTTCACCTATTCAGCCACACATCATCTATTCATCCATCCTTCTGTTCACCCTTCCCTTCCATATATTTATTATCCGTCTTCACTCTCTCCCTCTCCATCCATCCATCTCCTCCATATATTCATCACTAATTCAACCGCCATCATTCCATCCATCCATCCTCATCATATATCAATCCATAAATTCATCCATTTTCTTTTTCCTTCTTTTTCTTTCTTTCTTTCTTTCTTTCTTTTTCTTTCTTTCTTTCTTTCTTTCTTTTTCTTTCTTTCTTTCTTTCTTTCTTTTTCTTTCTTTCTTTCTTTCTTTCTTTCTTTCTTTCTTTCCTTCTTTCCTTCTTTCCTTCCTCCCTTCCCTCCCTCTTTCCTTCCTTCTTTCCTCCATCCATTAATCCATCAATTTATCTATTAAATGATTGATTGACTACCCCACTAATCTACCATCATACTTATATTCACTTACCATTTTTTAATTCTCTCACTCATTTATTTATCCAACCCCAAACATTCAACCCCTGACATGATTATTTGATGCATAGAGCAAATTCAGTAAACATCTTCTGGATTAATGATTAAATTCATGTCCAAGTCCCTCTATCACTTGGCACCATACACACTGTATACGGTAGACGCTTAGCAAATTTTTATCAGCTGACTGCAGATGCCTAACACGAGGACTGATGAAATCTTGATGTTATCCTTAGCATTCAGCACCATCACTCAAATTGTGGTTGAGCACGTGCATGGCAGGGCAGGGGCGGGGGGAGGGATAGAGAGAGAAAAAGAAAGAAGGAGAGAGACAAGGAGAAGGGGGGGGGAAATTTGGAGGGAGGCTAGATGACTGCAGAAAAGTGGGAGGAAAAGTTGTAGGGGCAGAGAGGGCTGAGGCAGAAGGAAAGAGAGCTTAAGACATCAGGTATCTTTTAGCAAAGGAGGGAACCGTAGATGTCTCCTTTGACTCAACTTACTGGGTTTGTGATAGAGGAACTTTCCGTCAGTGCCTGTTTTCTCATAAGCCCCAGAGATCGCCTCACAGACACCTTTCCTGGAAATGAACAAACCAAAAGGAAGGTAACTTCTGGCAGAGACCATGGTCCTGACACCCCACTCTCCTGTAGGGTCCTTCTAAATGCCTTTTTTTAAGAGAAAAAATTTGGAAAGTAACATTTCCAAATATCTGGTTTAATTCTCACACCAGCCCTGGGAGACACAAATTTCACATGAGGGAACAGAGGGACAGAGAAAGAAAGGAACTAATCCATGCTAACCTCTTGGTTAACCCAGCACTAGAAATCATCTTCCTTAAGCAAATCTGCACATCATACTTAGGCACCGTGAAGTCAGAATGATGAATTAACACATTAATTCATGTATTACTTTGTGTCTCTCTTGCCCCTCTCGTTTTCCTCATCTGAGAAATGGGGATAATGATAGCTTCTACCTCACATGGTGCTTGTGAGGATCAACTGAGATATTATATGCAAAAAGCTTAGAGTAAACACTATGCACTTATTAGGTATTATTGTTACTATGATTATTATTTATCTTATTAATATTGAATGACCAGCATCTATGTGCCAGGCACTGTGCTACATGCTGGGGATACAGAGGAGGGCAGGACAGACCCTGTCCCCTCATGGAGCTTATAATTGAGTGGGGTAGGTGGGCAGGTCAGGGGCAGATGCAGTCTGTGTGAGAATTGCCACAAGGGGCGGGGTGGAGCCCGAGGTGCTCCGAGAACACAGAAGAAGGCATGTAACCTGAACCTGGGTTGGGGGGAGTCAGGGAGGACTTCCTGGAGGAAGTGACAAAGAACCTGAGTCCTGAAGGATCCATAGGAATTAGCACAGGGAGGTGGGGAGGGGTTTTCCGGATAGAAGAAACATCCAATGCAAAGGTCCAGAGGATGGAGGGTTCCAGGGACTGAAAGAAGGTCCACTTGGGTGGGTCACAGAGTACATGGCAGAGAGTGGGGCAGGGAACAGTGAGTGCTTGGGGGTCGGGGGCAGGGGGGGCTGGAAAGCCACGTTGAAGGAGTTGAATTTTATTCCCAAGGGCAATAGGGAGCTCTGGAAAGGTTTAAGCAGATTTGAGTCTTTGAAAGGTCTTTCTGGTTGCTGGGTGACGAAAGGATTGGATGGAAAGTTGGCGATTAGAGGCGGGGAGAAGTGTAGAGAGGCTACTGTAGACAACCAGGAAAGAAAGGGAGGTGGCTTGGTCCAGGGTGGTGGCGCTGAGGAGGAGACAAGTGAACAGACTGGACGGATTTAGGAAGGGCAGGGACAGGGCTTGATGATGGATCGAATGGCAGTGGCAGTGCCGCCTCCCACCCAGCTTTCCAAGAGGGGGGTGGGGGAGAAGTGCCCTTACTGAGCTAAGGGACACCCAAGGAGAAAGGGCAGGTTGGAAAGCAGGCGCAGTGTTGGGGGCGTTGCCCTTGAGGTGGAGGTGGGACAACTAGAAAGGGCTGCCCTGGTGGAGGGCAGCAGAGAGGTCTGGAGCTCAGGGCCGAGTCCTGGCTGGAAGTGGAGACCTGTCACTTTCTAGGATGGGGTGGTGACTGAAGCCAGGGCAGGGGGTGGGGTGGAGGTGGGTTCCCACTCACCGCCAGTGAGTATTAGTCACGCTGATCTCCCCGTCCGTTGCTCCCTCTCCCAGCACCAGCGAGCTCATGGTCATCTTGTCCTTGAACCTCTTCAGCCACGGGCAGGTGGAACCCACGGCCACGTGGAACCATTTCCCGTAGATCTAGGAGGCAGCCACAAGCTCTGAGGATCTGGACCTCGAGGAAGATTTGGAGGACATGTGTCCCCCTCCCTCCTCTCAGTGACTTCTCCTAAGTGATCATCCTTGTCTTACAGGTAATCGGAGGCTACAAGTCTTCCAGGGAGGATGGAGCGCTGATAGAGGAGCTCCAGGCATGGCGGCCAGCTTAGGAAGGAGATGTGCAGGTGGGCCCCACCTCGCTGGCAGAGGGCCTGACTCTGCTGAGATGCGGGATCTGGGCTGCTCACCTGGACGGGGTCCAAATCTCCAAGCCCTAAAGTCATCATCAACCACCGCTCCCCAGAAGCAGGAGTCCTGTCTTCTACTCCTCCGGGGACAGGGTGCTCACCACCTTGCACACAGCCCATACCTCCGTGTCAGAAAGTATCTCCTTTCCCTAAGCTGCGTCTGACCCAGGGCAAGCCTGCCGCCTCTTTCTCCTGAAAGGGCCCTCAGGTCCCCGCAGACCCTTCGCCATCCGTGACCACCAGAGGCCCTCTCCTCACGCCTGTCCTCCACAACCTTCCTCATCCCTGAACATAAGCAAAGTCCTCAGGCCAGCACGGCTACAAGGGTCTGACGGAACCCAGGATGGTGGTAGAGGGGCAGGCCCCGTTCAAGGTCACCCAGCGCTTCGGGCAGAGCTGGGACCGGAGGGCAGACTCCCCACACACAGCGCCCTGCCTGGGCCTCTTAATCCCACCAGCCTGACCTCTGTCATGCTTCTCATCTCCCCATAATCCCACACGTAGGGCGGAGGACCCAGGACGGGCTAACAGAGATGCTACGAGGGAGGTGAGGACTTGAAGGTTGAAGGGCTGCGGGGTGGAGGGTCACAAAATCCTCGGTGCTGCTGGGGGCTGCAGGGCAGCAGTCGGCACCAAACCTTTTCTGGGTGGTTTCTAATCAGAGCATGGGTCCCCCTGGGAACCCGAGAGGGCAGGTTCAGACGTGAGGACCTTTGACTCAGAATGTCAGCCTGGAGGCCCACAGAACGGTGCATGCAGAATTGAAGCTTCAGCAGATCCCTGAGAGTCTGGGCAGCAGGAAGGGCCCTGACGGACCCACGCGTGGAGTTCCAGATGCGGAGACTGAGAGCTCGGGGCCTAGGACCTGCCCCTCCCCCGCAGCAAGGCCCAGCCGCTCGGACACCCTGCCATCGCTGCCAGAGAGGCCAGCCTTACCCTAGACAGGTCGAAGTTCTCCTGCACTTGGATGTCGTCGGGCAACGTCGTCACAGGGCTGGCACTCACCGCCAGGCAGGCGGTCAGCTGCACGAGCAAGGCCCCGGGACTCTGCATGGCTCCGGGCTCCTCCGCCTGGGGTGTCACTCACGGGCTCCGTCTGGGGACCGAAGAGCCACCACCTCCCTGCACGAGGCAGCTATGGACTGGGGCTGGGGAACCGGCCTGTGGCTGTAGATGACTTTGCTGTTTGCTCTGTTCAGCCGGGACCAATCAGGGCCCCAAGGCCAGGGCCAATCGATCCCTTGTAGTGGTCCAGGCCGGGGTCAGGGTCCCGAGGGGCCAGGGTGGCTGCTTCAGAGCAGCTGCTGCCCAAATGCAACCCGGTCCTAGTGCAGCCGGGCGCTAGGTTCAGGCCCCACAAAGGCTTCCCCAGAAACTCCTCACCTGTCCCAGGTGGGATGAAGAGACGGGCAGCCCCTGGCCCTTCCCGCTGGGTCATTCCACCTGTGAGCCAGGAGGACAAGCCTGACTGGCCCATTTCTCACATGAGAAAACTGGGGCCCGGGGAGAGGAAGTGACTCAGCAGAGACAATAGGGAGGTCTGTGGCAGAGCCAAGACGAGAGCTCGGGTGTCCTATCCCCAGAGTTCCTTCTCTGACTCGTGGCTTCCCACAGCCCTAGCAAATAATAGTAGAAATGATGATGATGATGTTCACAGCTTCCATTCACTGAGCACCTGCTATGTGCCAGCTGTATACCAGCACTTTACACTGGCCACGGAACTGATCATCCCCACAACGACCTCATCAAGTAGGTGCTATTTTTCTCCTTTATAGGTAGGGCGTTTGAGTCTCCAAGAGGTAAAGTGACTTGCCTAGGGTCTCCCAGCTGGGAAGCAGCATTGCTGGGAGAGGCAGCATCTGGTGGTGGCTGAGAGCATGGACTCGGGAGCCAGACTGCTTTCTGTGCCACTCACTGGCTGTGTGGCCTTGGGTGAGTGACTTTCCCTCTCAGTGCCTCCGTGCCCTCATCTGCAAATGGGGATAATAGTAGTTCCTGGTTCAGAACATTGTCACAAGGATTGATGGAGTTACACTTGTAAAGCACTAGGACAGTAGCCGGCAATGGTAAGAGCGGAATGTGTGTGTAACAGGTTGGATAGTGTCTCCCCCAAATTCATGTGCACCTGGGACCTCAGACTGTGGCCTTATTTGCATAATTAGTTCAGGTGAGGTCATACTGGAGGAGGGTGGACCTAAACCCAAGGACTGATGTCTTCATAAGAGAAGGGGGGGGGGGGGGGCGAGATTTTGACACAGAGACACACAGACACACAAGGAAGACGGCCACGCAAAGACCGAGGCAGAGATTGGAATGAGGCAGCAGTAAGCCAAGGAATGCCAAGGGCTGCTGGCAGAAGCTAGGAAGGATTTTCCCCTAGAACCTCCAGGAAGAATGCGGCCCTCCTGACAACTTGGTATTGGACTTGTAACCTCCAGAACTATGAGGAAAATACATTTCTGTTGTTTCACACCACCCAGTTTGTGGTGCTTTATTAATGGCAGCCTTAGGAAACTAGACAGTATCCGTTGCATTAAAATATTTAAATGGGAATTTTTTAAAAACCCAGGTCTGTTTGTCTCCATAGATCAAACGCTTGCCAGTGATTCTGCAGGCCCTCTCTAGGAAGAGCCCTTCTCCAGTGGTCAGAACTCCTGTCTTCATTTCCTCCCTGCCCTTGGCACAGAACATTCCACACACACAGTAGCCTCCTTGCTACAGCTGGGAATGACCCCTTCAGACAGGCAGGTCCACAAGAAAGACCCCTGCTCATGTGAGGATCCGGCAGTTCCCCCACAGAGTTGCCCCAACAACTGGTGAGTCATGTCCCTCTGTAAAAGTCGTCAATACACTCATCTTTCCAGTATCAGGAACAAGTGTGTCTCTAGTCATAATAAGTGAATGTGTTTCCTCTGCTCTGTCACTGGCAGCTTGGCTAGTGATGACATTCCCTTTTCACTTTGGCTGCCAGGAAGCTCAAAGCCATATGACAAATTTAATCATAGCAAGTATCTTGGCTTAGATTTCTGAAACACTTATCTTCCCTCTTGTTCACAAAGTTTCGCAGGCTTTTATGGTTTGGTTCGTGGTGGTAGTAAGAAGGCAGAGTCTGAATTAAGAGGAGTGCAGACAGCAGGCAGCCAGAAGCCTTGACTTGTTCTGCATGACTTTGGGTATGGCCTTCCCTCCCTGAAGCCCACTTTCCTCACCTGTAAATGGAAGAAAACAATCCCTGACGTGTCTGCCAAGAGGTCAAGTGAGCCATGTGTGTGAAAGTGCTCTGTAAACAGGCCACTGCCTCATCTGTGTGATGGTCTCAGGAGGTCTGTCTTTGGAGAGACCAGACCTGATATAAGGATGAAAAAATAACAATGAATCATGAATAGGAACAGTGCCATCCTACTAAGGTTGCCTACAGTGTACCATGATGGCTCAACCGATCTTCATAGAGGGTCTACATTATTAGGGGTGTCAACCCCACTGGCCCCAGGGGAAGCCTGAGGCCCACGGGGGTTAGAAGTATCCCAGCCTCTTTTGGACAGGATTTGCTCACCCAGCCACACAGCCTCTCCTGGGGGCGGGGGCATGCAGTGGGGGGGGTGGGGTGTGGGAAGAGGCCCAGAGGATGGGCCCAGGATGTTGATCTCTTCTCCCGCCTCCAGCGATGTTTGCTCTCCTCAGATTATTAACCAGAGCAAACAGAGAGAGCAAACTCTGCCAAAGCCCACCTGGACTTTGAGCTGCTTTTTAAAAATTAACCCCGGGCCCAAGGATGGAAGGCCGGCAGTGATCAGGGGTGCTGACCCCTCTTCCCCTTCTGGCCATCGGGGTGGAAGGATCGAGGCTCTGGAGCCCCTGTCCTCCTAGGGGACCCAGGGGTCCAAGTGTGCACTGGAATTGGCCAGGTCCCAGAACCATTTCAAGGGGAGGGCGAGGTCCTGCCTGTGCAAGAGGCCTCTGAGCCTCAGAGGTGCCCAGTGTGCAGGAAGGAATAGAGGCCTGTTTCAGATGAACACTCTGGGGCTCAGAGAAGGAACGGGACTTGTTCAAGGTCACCCAGCTTGGGGCGGAGTTGGGGGCCAAATAGGCCTGACTCCAGTGCCCAGGCTTTCCCGCATCGTTTATTCATTCATCCACTCATTCATTCACCAAACATGCACTCCATGCTTGGTGCTGAGAATAGGACGGAAGAAGTGAGAAGAAGGTAATAAGACAGGATGGTCCCTGCAGTGATGGGGGAAGCAGCAGAAGCCAGGGGAGAGACTTTGACCTTAGTAGTAGAAATTAGCCAGACAAAAGTGCATGCGTGGGGCAAGGGTGGGGTTGGAGGAGGAGGGGGTGTTCCAGACAGAGGGAACAGCAACTGCGAAGGCTTAGAGGAGGCAGATGCAGAGAGAAGTGTATCTGGAATGCAAAAACAAGCAAACAAGCAAGACCATAGGTCTGCAGCTTGGGAGACAGAGGCACGTGGGGAGAGGCAGGCTGGGGAGGTGGCTGAGGTCCAGCAGGGAGGACTCTGATGCCAGGTCAAGGGGCTTGCTTGTTATCTGGAGTATGTGGGGAGCCCTAGAGAGTTTTCAGAAGTGCTTTCAGGGCTTCCCTGGTGGCGCAGTGGTTGAGAGTCCGCCTGCCGATGCAGGGGACGCGGGTTCGTGCCCCGGTCCGGGAGGATCCCACATGCCGCGGAGCGGCTGGGCCCGTGAGCCGTGGCCGCTGCGCCTGCGCGTCCGGAGCCTGTGCTCCGCAACGGGAGGGGCCACAACAGTGAGGGGCCCGCGTACCGCAAAAAAAAAAAAAAAAACAAAAAAAAAACCATAAGTGCTTTCAGATTTTAAAATCGGCTGAGGTGAGAGGAAGCAGGGCAAGTGGGAGGCCCCGGAAAGCAACTCTCTAGGAGGAGGCTCGCCAGGAAGAAGGAAGGGGCCGCGACACTGGGACCCAGCAACTGCACAAGCAGGGACGTCAAGGACATGGGGTGGACGTAGCCAAGGTTGGGGCCTTCCTCTGCTCATGGTGGAAGAGGGTGGCAGGGAGACCTCGCCTCCTCACGAGGAGGCATCCAGCTGCGGGCCTCGCCCCAGTGCCTGACCCCGCCCGATTCCCTCAGACTCAGAGCCACAGCCCCATACCTTCATGGGGAAGCTGGAGGCGGCAGCAACCAGGACGCCATGACAGTGATGGGGGAGGGGTGTTTCTCACTGCCCAGCTCTGTCCCAAAGAGCCAGGCCACCCAGAGACTTGAGTTCCTCGTGACTTGCTGGGTGACTGTGGGGCAGTCCTATCCTTCCCTGGCCTCATCTTCCTCATCTGGGCCTCCAAATGACGGTAAAATAACTCACGTGACAGGGCTGAAGTAAGCACTGGAGGAGGGACATTTGTGAAAGTGCTCCCCAGTGTACACGCCGGAGGGATCGATGTCGTCACAGGCACTTAGCACAGCGCATGGCACCAGGTAAGGGCTCCATACACAGCAGAAATTACACGCAAGAAGGTGTGGGCATCCCGTGTCCACTAGAGGGCAGCAGAGAAGTTCTAGAAAGACCACTGGGGTTTGTCCCCATTCCTCCGTACAGGCAGGAGGCAGAGGCCTAGAGCAAAGGCCCACGGAAGTGGTAGAATCAGGGCTGGAACCCAGCCTTCCTCGCCCCAAGCCTGCTTACAACCCCGTGGTGAGTGTAAAACACTCAGCTTCTGCCTTGCCTATCCCCAGAGCTGGATGCTTAGATGGGGCCCTTTGAAAAATAGTTCGCTGCCCAGTGAATTCAGTTCTCCTGATGAACCAGAATTGGGAGTCGCTGCTCTAGACAGCAAGGGCGGTGATAACCTGAATCACCACTTGATTAAGTTCGTACTGTGTGTCAGGCCCCACGCTGAGCACTCTACAAGCATGGCTTACTGAATCCTCCCGTTAAGATTCAATCATTTTACTACAATGGTAGTCCTACTTTGCAGATAGGGAAACTGAGGCTGAGAGATCAGGTGACCTAGTGTCAATGGTCACCCAGCCAGCAAGTAGTGATCCAAACCCAGATCTGTCTCCCTGACACCCAGGTCACTCTGCTGGCCTCCCAGCCCCTTGTCCCCTGATAAACAGTGGGCCCTTGGCTGTGTTCTTTCAGACACCTGGAGCAGAGGGGTGGGTGTCTTCCTTCACTGGACCCCTCACAGCAGGAGTGAGCCTGGTTCTCCCTTCTCCGGCCAAGAGCGTGCTCTGTCTCTGCCATGAGACCTGACCCTTCCCTTCTTCCCAGCACTGTGCTGGGCACTTAGGTGCTCAACAACCACATACTAATTGACTGACTTAGAACTGTGAGTGGAAATGTAGGTCAGACCCCCAAAAAGGACCACCTAACTAGAAGACAGCTGAGGGAGACTGGGAGATTGAAATCACCGTGGCCAAATCCTTGAATCACGATCAATGAATGAGCAAATGAACAAGTGAC